TTCCGTTTACTCGGAAGGCTGAGGCGGAAGGATTGCCGGAGCCCAGCAGTTCGAGGCTGCGGTGGCCGGGAGTGGCCACTGCACTCCAGTCTGGGCGACAGAGTGAGACTCCAACTCAAAAAAAAAAAAAAAAAAAAAATGGGCAGGCAAAAGACTGAATAGACACTTCTCAAAAGAAGACATACAAGCAGCCAACAGATACATAAAAAAATGCTCAGCCTCACTAATCATCAGAGAAATGCAAATCAAAACCACATTGAGATCCCACCTAACTCTAGTAAGAACAACCATCAATAAAACAAAAAATAGCAGATGCTGGCGAGGATGCAGAGAAAAGGAATTGCTTCTACATTGTTGAAAATGCAAACTAGTTCAACCTCTATGGAAAACAGTGTGGCAATTCCTAAAAGAACTAGACATTGACCTCCCATAGGACCCAGCAATTCCCCTTCTGGGAATATACCTGGAGGAACTTAAATCACTCTTTTAAAAGATACCTGCTTACACATGTTTACTGTAGCACTATTCATAATAGCAAAAACATGGAACCAACCGTGCTACACAATGAAACTGGACTGGATTTTTAAAATGTGGTACATATGCATGATGGAATATTATGCAGCCACAAAGAAGGACAAAATTATGAACTTCACAGCAACTTGAATGGATTTAGGGTCTATAACATTCAGAGATCTAGCACAGAAACAAAGAACTGAGTACCACATGTTCTCACTCATAAGTGCACCCTGAACATTTACCATAATACTATAAGAAAGGGATTGGCAGTAGGCATAAACAGCCAGGGGAGGTGGTGGGGGGATGGGTGTCACATATCAATTAGGATACCTGATCTCAAAGCAAGCAAAGCAGGGACTAAAGGGAGGTCCAACCTTTACCTGTACAATGACCATTTGCATAGCTAATCCTGAAAAAACAAAAAACAAGGAACTACACACATTCTTCTGTTTTTAAAGAGAATTACTTTGAAAAATAAGCCAAAAGAATTTATATAAAGTATAATATGTTTTTGATATTAATTAGGACATTCACAATCCAAATGTTAACTGTGATTTTGTGTGTGTTTGAGTTGGTTCTATTAATAGCCTACTCATTTTTTCTCATTTTCTATATAGCAATTTTAAAAAGTTTTCTTTAAAAAATACAATTGTTACCTATTAACACACAATTTACACATTTTCAAGTACTTAAAAGAGTTTTGAAAATTATAAACACATTATAAACCATTATTTAATTTCCAAAAAATAGACGAAATATCAACAAAGATGGCCACACATGTAAACATTGAACATATATCAGCATTTATTTTTCCTTATAAAAGCCAAAAATTAATATGAAATATAATTACACTTATGTATATTTTCAGTGAAAAAGTCAGTAATCTACTAAAATTATTACTAAGACATGAGATAAAAGTTGTACTTAATTGCAATAATGCCAGATTGAAGAAACATCAATTTTAAGATGTAATCTTTTTTACATATGTCCATCCATTGCCACTTAGAATTTTATTAAATCAATTGATAAGAATTATAGCAGATACATGTGCATAAACAAAGGGATGAAATAATAGAACCAGAAAAAGGGCCTAGACTATGTAGTCGATTTTTTTATTATTATTATTTCAAGCAGAGCTACAATTTAAAACCATCATCACCAAAGAACTGCCAAGTTTCTGAGTTCCTGAGTTCCCACCAGCAGGCTCAATACCCCAGTAAACATTTGAGATTTTAGATACTAAGTATGGAGGTACTTCCTAGTTAACTTTCAACTTGATTCCTCAGAATACTCCATTACAAGTCATTCTACCCACTTAATTTAGATTCTGATAATAAGGCTCTTGCTTCTTTGCCAAGTGTATCAACTTGAACATTTTCTAAACCTCTGGTTCCTAAAAAACAAACAAACAAAAAACAGTATTTTATCATTAATACCATGAGGTTATTACTTACATTTTACCCTCCCTTTTCTCACATAAGTGACCTAATTCTTTCACGGTGTAATATGCTGAAAAAGTAAGAATAAAGCTATATGACCCAAGCTGAGCTTTTTGGTGGAACATAGATCACCTTGTCTCTGAAACTGAATAAATCACTGACCCCATTGGAACTCTTTAATTTAATCTACTCATTTCTGTTTATAATCACAGATTGCAACTGAAGCTAAATAGGTAAAAGTTAACAAAATGACTTAGCAAAAACGACTCTAGAGCTTGACCAAGGTTTCAGAAGATGAAGTTGTTTTTCCCCTTTACCTACCAACAACTTTCTATAGTTGTAAGATTTCAGAGGGCAGTCTACTGACAAAATACTTCTTAAGAAAAATAGAGATCATTAAAACAAATGTCATTTTTAGGATTAGGTTGCATTTTTAATCAGGTTCCAAGACTTATTGAATATCTACTGTTCTCAAGAAATGTCACCAAGTGAGATGAGGGTTGCATACTAAAATAAGCTAAAGTTGTAGCCAGCGTCTTTCAGGTGTGAAGTTTACATGACTTTATCAACATTTTTGTTGATTATCATTTCTCATAACTGTTTTATATGTAACTTTCTAGGAGTTCTGGTAAAAACTATCACAGCAAATAAAAATTCTTTAGGATTTATCCTATCACTGGTTCTCTAACTTTGATGATCATAGAAATTACCTAGGGGAATTGGAGGAGTAGATACAACCAGGTCCAACCCAGGAGTACTCAGTCAGGCTCTCCACTGGAGGGGGAAACGCTCAAGTATGGGTGATTGTAATAGCTACTCTGCCTTACATGAGATGACTTTGAAAACTTCTGTCCCTAAAAGCCTTGCTACTTAAAGTGTGAACCATGGACCCACAGCATTGATGCCACCTAGGAACTTTCTAGAAATGCAAAAGTTCAGGCCCCTCTCAGCCCTACTAAATCTGAACCTCCATTTTAACTAGATCCCTAAGTGATTCTTGTGTGCATTGAAATCTGATAAATGCTACATTAAAGACCTATAAGAATAGAACCACAGAATTATGTTAGAAGTATTTAAATGGTGTATAAGATACAGTAGCTTAAATGTATAAAATGTAATTTATGATTTTAATGGGCATTTAGCCACCACGATTGCTATAAATTAGATACAAGGTTGTCAGTTATTCAAGGTTTGTGGCCAGTGACTTGGGATTTAGCAAAAATCAACTCCCTGGAGACCAGTGTTAACTGAAAAGTAACTGGCATTGTTGCAGCACAGTATCTAGAAGGACACAATAATCTAAAAACCTAATTTTGAACATGGTCAAAGGTGATGTAGCTCTGAAACACTCAAGAACCAAGGAGAAGGTGATTTCCTTTAGGAAGTGTTCAATAGATGACATGGAAAATTCTAAAATGTTTTAGATCTGCTCCCTTGCTTACTACACATGAGAAAACTTGGGCAAGAGCCTAGTACATTTAGGGGAGGAAGGAGAAGTATTATGATATTAAGGATATGCTCAGGATTTGTCTCTGGGGAATTAATTTTTTTTTCTGATTCAGAAATGTAGATACCCAATGATCACAACTGGACTACTGGATATTAGGATAGCTTAAAGCTGCAAACCAGCTGCCACTGGCCAATTTCAGCACAGAAAATCATCTTGTTTGTCACCACCACGATCTGCTTCTTTGTTGTTGTTTAATTTGAGTGCATTTAAGGGAGACTGTGAAATATCCAATTTGAGATATGCAAGCATCTCTATATTTATATAGTTATATTTGTGCCCCTAGTGTCTCTTCTCACTTGAGTTTGCAACTCTTGCACATGAGGAGATGTAGAAATCAGAAACTCTAGACTTTAATTTATTTTAATTATTTTATTTACATTACTGTATATTTCAGATCGTTTTGTGGACATTAATTCTGGGCGAGTTTTAAGTACTGGGTTTAAATTGCTGTTCTGTATAGAACTAAAATCAGAAGATTTGAAAATATTTACATTCCAATAACCATAGGAATAAAATAATAATAGTAATAAAGTCTTGATAGAAAAAAGTCAGAGAAGCAAAAATCCTTTTAAGTTCAATCAATATATGCTCCCTTTTAAAAAAATTATATTTTTAAAAAAATTATATATATTTGGTTTCTCTTTAAAGTTTAAAGTTGACTGAGAAGAAAGAAGCAGGTGACTCTCTACATATTTACTGCAGAGTTATTCTTTTTACTCCCAGAAATGTTACCTTTAATTGTGAAACTTTTGTTAACTGAACATTGATTTTTATAATATAGAGAAAATATTTCTTGTGGAGATTGTATTTGCCTTGCTTAAGTCATAATATATTTGTCATATAAACTTCAATGTCCTTTATTAGACTGTGAACGAGTTCACCAGCCATATGATAATTAACCCACTATGCTATTGGCTCTCTAGTCTCTGTAAGATCTTGTAGATTGGTTCACTACCATAATTCTAGAAAAAAAATTAAAGATTCTTCTGATAGATCTGATTCAAACTCAACAAGCAGCCTCATTCTTCCCCAGGAGTTAGGAGGAATTAGGAGAGCCAACTAGATAGTTTCTTCAGAAAAGAAGGTTTAGAAAGGAAAGAGGTAATATTACAAGTAGTGCTAACAAGTACTGCTGTGGTACCTAGAACAAGATATATTTCCTAAAGATCCCTCATCCTGTGAAGAAAGGTTTCCATAATCTTTTTTCTGTCTACCAGGTTTGGTACAGATGGTGCCTGATGCTGTGACCCTAGCAAAGATCCACCGACATTCTGGGCTGATAGGACCATTGAAAGAAAATGCAATCAAAAAGTGGTTCAGTCAGCACAACCACTTAAAGGCAGATTATGAAAAGGTATGTCCTGCTGAAGATTATTTTAAATAATGTATTTACATAAGAACATAATCCAGTTTACTAGCTATTCTGATTTGTAGAAAAGTAAATTAAGTACATTTTGAATTCTAATTTATTCAGTCATCATCCTAGTAATAATGACTCCATTTAAATGGTATATTAACTAGATAAAAGTTTCTGGGTTTGGTTTTTCTTCTGATTGAAATTCCTAGTTATCAATAAAGCAGCATCCCTGACAGCAATCTCAGACCAGAAACGATCCCCTTGAATCTACTCCCTTCAAGTGACCTTCACCTATTTGTCCAGAATCTCCAATTTCTATAAATATCCCTTCTTAACTTTACAAAATTTACTGTTGCATTTGACTGCAAACATAGTTTTTCCCCAGTTTACTTCCCTCTGGCACCCAGCCTGCAGTGCACAGTTGTCTATACTAGGGCTCCTGGATGAAGGGATAAGTGTGGCTAGAGCCAAACCTTGTTGCATTTCCCAAACCATGAACTGTTACTACTGACCCCACTCAGAGGCAAGACACCTGGAAGCTACTGTACCCAAAAAAGTGCAACATTAGATTTGGTAAGCACTGTTCCAAGCACTGAAGTTATTCTGGGAAACTTCTCAGTTCTGGGCAAACTGGGATGATTGGTCACTTTAGCTAGTATGGGCCATGATAAAAAGACCCAAGAGTTTATCTATTCTATACTTCCACATGGTCAGAGTGGAGCAAAATACAGGCTGTTAGAGACCAAATAATAAAGCTTTAGATAAAATTATCCTAAAATCTATTTTTTAGCTATTCCCAAAATTGTAACTACAGTTTTGCACAAACCCCTGTGCTTATGTTTTTGAGGTATTTCCACATATATTTGCTCTTCATAACCACTATGTGAAGGACATATTTTATTATCTTCACTTTATAAGTGAAGAAAATCTAGACAGACATATTAAATGACTTTTTCAGGAACATGAGAGACCTGGAACTAAGATATTCTGGCATGTAACCCAGTTTCCTAGCCTTCCACTGCACTGAGGCAGCCCCATCATGCTAGGAGACTCATAACCTTGGTCCAACCAATCATTTATAGTTACACCACCAAGTTGATGAAAATTATGTATATACAGGAGACCATTTTGGAAACAAAGAATATTTTTGGAAAGAAACCTCTGTTCATTAAAGAAACATAAGCCACAATTGACTTAGAGGTAATCTGCTTCCACCCACACATTCACTCATGTATGTACTTTACCAGAACACTTTCAGACATCAATTAGATGACATAATAAAAGGATACATATAAAATGTTGCAGATTTCCTAGTACAGCTTTTTCTGGTCCGAAATTTCAAACACTAAGCAAGTAATATTTTAAATTTAATTGGAAACAGGCAATAATGGACCATGTTATTCTTTCTTCTTTTACCTTGAAAAAAAATCATATTGTGTATTTGGGGCATCAAAAAAGTCACACTAGAACATCTCTCTAGTAAACCATAAAAATTAGCTTTATCTGAATGAGGGAGATACTTTCTTCAATTTCAAAGAAAACATTCACCTATTAGGGCTAAATAACAGATTACTTTATGTTCTTCTACACCATAACAAAAATCAGTTTCTTGACTGTATGTACAGTTTTCTCCACTGATATGAAGACATTGTTTTTGATTAGTAATCTTGCTTTTCATTATTTGCTTTTTACTATTACCTCTATTGCTAATGCATATCCTCATTTTTTGTTGTTATTTTTGTGTTATTGTTTTTCATTTGATTAGGCCCTGAGGAACTTTTTCTATTCCTGTGCTGGCTGGTGTGTGGTCACATTCATCCTGGGAGTTTGTGACCGTCATAATGATAATATCATGCTGACAAAGTCAGGCCACATGTTTCATATTGACTTCGGAAAATTCTTAGGTCATGCACAAACATTTGGAGGGATAAAAAGGTCAGTGCATAAATGTTTATTATAGCAATTAAGCAAAGTCCTAAGCAATATATAATACGTAATGGCAAGAAATCCTGCAGATGACTTGCTCCTATCTCTCAAATCCCCCAAGGTAATATAAGCATAATACATATCTAACAAGGTTGAAGGAAAGATTTTTTTCCTATAGATTTTTAATGAAACAAATTGGATTTTCTCAAATTGTTAGTGTACTAAATTAGTCTTTCCTCATGGGAAACAACAAATCCTCTTTTAGTCTAAGTTGTTTGCAATAATATTTTTGTTTTCTTATAAACCTTGAATAGACAGTAAGGTACAAGTTGATGATCTCAGTACATCTGATATGTTGCCCATAGCAAATCACCATCATTGTTCTACGTATTATAAAGGTGTCACACTTCCCACACTGAATTAGCCATAAATCATTTCATAAATATTTAGCAAACACCTACCATTCAAAGATACAACAGTAAACAAGGCAGATAAAAAACCCTGATCTCTTTCTAGTAGAGATGACAGTTAAACAAGTTAATGAGCAAAGAAATAGTAGGAGGAAATAAGAAGTTCTTTTAGGAAACTAAAGCAAACAAATGGAATAGAAAGTGACTGAAGTGGGGACTATTGTAAAGAGGCTTCTCGGAAGACATGACGAAGAATTATGTAATGAGTGACCACCTCATGGAGATCCATGAGAAGAGTATTTCAGAAAGAAAGAACAGGGGATATAACAGCTATAATCATGGAAATAAGGATGGAAATGTTGCGGTGACAAGAAGACCTGGGATCTGGAGGTGGGACAGAGAGAGGCAGGCAGTAAGAGGGAAGGGTGAAGAATTTGGTGGAGGTCAGATCAAGCAAGATTCAGTAGGCATGGTATAAAGTATGGCCTTTGTTTTAGGTTCAGGGAAACCATTGATGAATTTCAGTGGATTTCAAAAGCTTTCTCCTTATATCTTCTGCAGTAGAAACCACTGAAGAGATTATTGCAATAGTTAAAGCAAGACTTACTGGTAAAAGTAGAAATAATAAAAGCTGTCAAAGTCAGAATATATTTTGAAGACAGAGCTACAGAACCTGCTAATTGATTGGACATTGACCGTGATTAATGAACTGGAGGAGGTGCATGACAGGTCAGAGAATTAAAGAAAACATACAATAATTATACCTAGATTTTTTTATCTTATCAAATGGGTGAATAATTATATCACATGATGAAATATGCAAGACTGGTGGATGAATAGGTTTTGTTTTGTTTTATTTGAGTCAGAGGTAAGGAAATTAGAGTTTGGAAACTGAGTCTTTGCCTAAAAAATATTTAATATTAAGGTAGAAATGGGGTTAGATTATTCCAAAGACTAATTCACCACTTTTGCCTAAAAACAGTATTTCAATAGAAAAATAATAATGTTTCCTATGAAATAACATGATGGAATTCATACCAGATGGCCCTAATCTGACATTAAATATACATAAACTACATAATATGGTTTTAGTCTTATAAAGTGCTATCTTCTCTTTTGTAGGAACATTCAAATGGATTGGTTATTACCTTTAATGCATTGCTTTTTTAAATAATCTCAGAAAAATTCACCACATATTCATTCCTTAAGCATCCACAGAGAATGGTCTTTCTGCCAAAGACCATGATAAACACTGGGAATACAAGGATGACTAATATACCACCTCAGTGAGGTTTACTCTTTCAAGTACTAGAAATACAGACACATAATGATTGTTATAAAATGTGACAAGGGCAGAGATAGAGAGACGTACAAATTGTTGGAACATCTTAGAGGAGGGGTACTCAGTTTATGAAGGACAAATATCAATTAACATATTTGAATGGACACACAATTTACCTATGTAACATGTTTCTCCCTAGAATTCACCGTTTCCCAGAAATTTAAAAATTACGTCAGCTGTGACATCTTTTTAAAAATTATTCTTGTGTATTATTCACTGGGAATTTGGGGCAGCTCTTATATAGTTATTCCACCAGTTTCTGTGTTGTCCACTGGAGTGGTTAAAAAAAGGACAAAAATATTCCAGTTCTACAGAAGTTCCAGATGAGAGACATAAAAAACTAAAGAAAAACTTACCAAAACAATATGATAAGGGTATGTAGCAGGTTCTACAGAGAAGGTAGAGCCACAGTTTAGTTGTTTGTTGATATTATAGCAGTGCCTACTCCCACAACTTGACAACTTCAAGGCTTTCTTATGCAGCATCAGGTAAATTAAAAATGGTCCCAGCATAGAGCCTCCCTCATAATATGTTTTTAATATTGTTTGCTGAGTTAATCAACCAGTAAACCAATCACAGGCATACCCTCAATTATTCAATAATTTTTTATTAGATAAATGAAAATGAAGTTGATATTGCCTTCCTTTGAGGTTATTATTTGTTGACCAACTAACAAGGCCAACAGCAACTCCAGGATTCACTTAGATTAGTGTTTCTAAAATTTTATCTCCACTAGTGACTCCCATAGGGCTCACTGGCAGTGTCTCCTTGGATTTTTTTTTTTTTTATATTGGTACTTCTGACCTGAGTTTGTTTAATGGTAAAACTGAACTACATCTATTCACTATATCTTTTGGCATGTAGGGAGTAGGTAATATTTTGTCTTCAATGCTCTTTTAGCATTTCTGGAATTCATTGAACATTGTCTTGTAGGACAGCTGACTTCTTCCATCTTAACTTCATTGAAAGTTCTTACTGGTTTATTATTATTATTATTATTATTATTATTATTATTATTATTATTATTTTAAAGACGTAGGATACAATTCGGGGTTAGGTATACAAATGTTCATTATTCAGGTTCCCTTGTTGATGAGGTGTGCCCCCCCCCCCAGCTGTTTCCCACTACTGCCAGTCCTGCCTCCACCCTACCCTAACAGTTTCCCACTACTGCCAATCCCTTTCTTATAGGACAACAATAGTTTTCAAGATCCGTTTATGAGAGAGAACATGTGATACTCAGTTCTTTGTTTCTGTGATAGATCACTCAGTATTATAGCCACTAAGTCAATCCAAGTTGCTGTGAAGTTCATAATTTTGTCCTTCTTTATGGCTGCATAGTAGTCCATCATGTATATGTACCACATTTTTTTATCCAGTCCTCTTTTGATGGGCAGCATGGTTAGTTCCATGTTTTTGCTATTGTGAATAATGCTGCAATAAACATGTATGTGCAGGTATCTTTTTCCTAGAGTGATTTGAGTTCCTCTGGGTGTATTCCTAGTAGGGGAATTGCGGGATCATATGTAAGGTCTATTTTTAGATCTTTTAGGAATCACTACACTGTTTTCCACACAGGTTGTACTAGTTTACACTCCCACCAACAGTGTAGTAGTGTATTCCTTTTACTTGCATTCTTTCCAGCATCTGTTGTTTTTGAGTTATTGATGATGGCCATCCTGACTGGAGTTAGGTGGTATCTCAGTGTGATTTTAATTTGCATTTATTTGATGACTAGTGAGACTGAATATTTTTTCATGTATATGTTGACTGCTCGTATGTCTTCTTTTAGAAGTGTCTATTCATATCTTTTGCCCACTTTGTAATGGGGCAGCTTGTTTTTTTCTTTTCGGCTTATTTAAGTTCCATGTAGATCCTAGATGTTAGGCCTTTGTCAGATATACAGTTGGCAAATATTATTTCCCAGTTTGTGGGCTGTCTCCCTGCTCTCACAATGGTTTATTTGGCTTTGCAGAAGCTTGTCATTTTTATGAGGTCCCACTTGTCTATCTTATCTCTTATGGCATGGACATTTGGGGTTTTGATCAGGAATTGCTTACTAGTTCCAATTTCCATAAGGGTGTCTCCTGCATTTTCTAATATTCTTAAAGTTTGAGGTTTTATGTTTAGGTCTTTGATCCATTTAGAGTTAATTTTTGTGTATAGTGGGTCTTGTTTTAATCTTCTGCATGTGGTCAGTCAGTTTTCCCAGCACCATTTACTGAATAGGTTCTCTCCCCATTCGTTGGTGGTGGAGGCTTCATCGAAGATGACTTGGTTGAGAAATTGAGGTTTTGCTTCTGGAATCTCTATCCTGTTTCATTGGTCTATCCACATGCCTGTTCTAGTATCAATACCAGACTCTCTTGATTATTGTAGCTTTATAATAAAGTTTAAAGTCTGGGAGTGTAATACATCCTGCTTTGTTTTTTTGCTGAGGATTGTTTTGGCTATTTGTGGTCATTTATGTTTCCATATGAATTTCTGTATTGTTGTTTCCAGGTCTAAGAAGAATGCTGCCAGTAATTTAATGGGTGTTGCATTAAATCTATAGATTATCTTGGGTAGGATGGGCATCTTAACAATGTTGATTCTTCTTATCCATGAGCATGGAATATTTTTCCATTTGTTTGTGTCATCTTTGATTTCTTTGAGCAGTTTTTTGTAGTTTTCGTTGTAAAGGTGTTTTACATCTCTGGTTAGGAAGACACTAAGATATTTTGATTTTTTTGTGGCTATTGTAAATGGGAATGTGTTTTTATTTGGGTTTCTGTTGTTTATTGTTGGTGTATAGGAATATAACTGTCCTTTGCACATTTATTTTATGCCCTGAGACCTTGCAAAAGTCCTTTATCAGTACAAGGAGGTTTTTGATAGATTCTCTTGGGTTTTTGAGGTACAGAATCTTGTCATTTGCAAAGAGGTATATCTTTACTTCTTTTTCTATTTAGATATTCCTGAGCTCCTTCTCTTGTCTGATTGCTCTAGCTAGGACTTCCAAAACTATGTTGAACAGGAGTGGTGAGAGTGAGCATCCCTGTCTTGTACTGGTTTTCAGGAGAAATGGTTCCAATTTCTGTCTGTTTAGATGTATGCTGGCTGTGAGTTTCTCATAGATGGCTCTTGCGATTTTGAGGTATGTTCCTTCTATACCTAGATGTTTGGGGGGTTTTAGCAAAAAGTGGTGCTGGATTTTATCAAAAGCTTTTTCCGTGTCTAATGATATAATCATGTGGTTTTCAGTTTTACATCTCTTG